CTCAATTGTGATCATATGTCAAGAACTACCTGTATACCTCTATACATGTATGCTCAGAAACAAATCTCATAGACTATATCACCACCCACTCTCAAGGATCTACCCCACAGTCAATTTCTTGGGATGTCATGTCAACAAGGGACCAGGAATATATATGACCTCAGGCTACAAGAAGGAGAAACTATAACAGAAGTGAAGCCCTAGCCTAGCTGCAATGGTCTAATGAGGGAGGGCCAGCACAGCCATCTCCTCAACTATCATTTCCACTTCCTTGGCTAATGTAGCCAAATTCAGCAGGCAGCTGCTCCACCCTTTTGCTAGCCTTTTGTTGTACAAACAAGTCATTCTACGCCCGTCTGCTCTGTCCATGTGAAGCAGGCTGCAAAAAAAATCACTTGGAGGACCATGTTGCCCATGGAAGAAAAGCTTGGTGGTATTCAGCAGGTTCTGACCAGTTCTAGAGAACCGTTAGCAGAAATTTTTGAGTACTGTGGAGAAGCAGCAAATCCCACCTCTGACTGCAGATTTTACAGTATCCTTTCCCTGCCACGCCCACCAAGCCACGTAAAAGTGAAAAAGTAAAAAAAAATTGAATCCCACCATTGCCTGAGACCCACTGATCTAATCCAACTGACAGATTCTATAGTAATGGATGACTCTATCTATCCAATCTCTATTCCAGCAAAACAAAGCCCATATCCTGGGAGAATCTGTTCCATTGTAAACAGCTTTAACAATAGGAAATGATACCTCATGTCCAGTTATTCCCACTTAAAACTGGTTTCTTGTTCTGTTTTCAGCAAAACTGTGATCAGTTTTCTTAATCACAAGGGCATATAGCAATTTGCACTGTTGATAGAATAGACTATGAAGTAAATCCTTGAGATTGCACTAAATGTGCCCCCTTCACCCTACTACACCATTGAGGAAAAAACTGAGAGGGCATAAAAAGCAGCAGCACCCATTGGAAAGTTAAGTTCAAATTACTATATGGCACCATGACAGCAGAGAGGAAGCATAACTTGCATTGTATTGCTCTCACTGAGAAATAAACTTAAAACTGGGCACAAAGCCAGAAAATGGACAGAAGAAAGTCTGTATGAAGCATATTTGAAGAAGCACACTTGCTTCTGCCAGTATAAACGTAGCCATTTTTCTTCTTCAATCCCTCCCAAAAGATAGGACATTCATTGTTCAATTCCAGATTTTATGGAAGATGTTTAGAAAAGAGAGCCTTGTAAGCAACATTGAACATAGTTGCAGTCCATCCCCACAATATTATGTCAAACCATGAATATATTGGGCTCTGCCGTAATATATTTTTCTTTCTTTATATAAAAACTAGCATTTGAGATTTTATATTTGAATTCAGTGGTTTGGGCAAAGAACATTTTAAACCCAAGTATAATCTGAGGCATGAGTAGCAAAAAGTATCCTAGGGTCTATAGATATTGTAGATATGTAATAGAATTTAATAAATAAAGCAAAGGCTTCTAACTCCAAAACAAGAAGCTTGTTTTGCATTCTAAATTAGATTGCTGTAAATGAGCGATATGTTTTATAGGCATGCTTCAGTTCTACTACTGAAAATAATATTAGCATATGCTCAGAAACCTTTTTTTTCTACAACTTTCTTGCTACATAAGCCACAATTTCACACTTGTGTCCACTTAATGGTTAAGGGTCTAGTGGAAAAATAAAATAGTTTGTAAAATCTGCCTATTCCTAGGCAAAAAAATGGTAATTCCCAAATCTCAATCATTTTTCAAAGACCAAATATTTTTATCCAAATTTTCTTATTCAGGGGGGTTGGAATTGGTTTGTCACATGATTGAAGTCTAGTCAAAATATAATTCAAAGAGTATCTCAAATAAAAATGTTTTGTTCTGAGATCAGAAGAAAGCAGTCATTAAATTTAAAAGGTTCCACTGGAACATACAGGTAGTCAACTTATGAGAAAAACTGAGACTACAATTTCCACTGTACATTGTTGTCGCCATAAGTCCAGTCAGATTCAATGTTACAATTTATGACAGCCTTAACAGCCTTAATACATATGACCATATCCGGGTATGCAACAAGAGTACTTCCTAACGGCAAGCCCCCCCGCCATTCCCGCCATTTCACATGTTTAATATAGGCCTTAATTTGGGGGGAGGGGTTTAATTTGATTTTATGCCAATAAAACATACTGGGCCTTCCTATTGGTGGAGGCTGTATAGCTGGAGAAACACGGTAATACATGTATGGCTGTATCTGCCTTTTCTGAAACCGACAATGATCTTTTTTGTTTTTCCTCCATTTAAAACCAGGCTGTTTTTATTACAACAGATAATCAAACTTACTGCGTCCAGCTGGTAATTGCCCTCACTATAATCCCAAATAATGGTTGGTAGCAAACCTTGCACAATAGTCATGGGTCAGCAGGGTGAACAACAGCAAACTTGAGACACAGCCCTGAGGAGAACCTGTGCTCAAGAACATGATTGTTATTTCTAATATTAGTCCCAACTCACATATACTGAGGCCTATCAGTGAGAAATGGGCAGTAATGTGAAAACAATAAAGCATGATCTTGCAGCGTGCTTTAATAGCACAGAACAGAGCCTTGGACTCACTTAATGACCACATAGTTTAGCAACCAAAATTTGGTCCAAATTGTAGGCTTAAGTAAGGACTACCATACATACATCTGCAGGCAATCTACTTGAGAAAGAAAATATGACATAAATCAATTTCCACAATTGAAGAATGTTTGATAATTGTCAGGGATGGCAAAATTGACTGTTCTAAATAAAGAAAAATTATTTGTTGTTGTTTCTATTTAAAAATACTTCTATATTTTTTCATTTTTTAAAAACTTTAGATTTTGATGATTAAAATGATTTTATTATGGAAATGGCTTGAAACATTTAGAAATGTAAAGCAAAACATTGAGGCTGTAACATTTTTGTACTGTACTGAATTAAAAAATCAAAAGTCACTTTTTTTTGTTTACTTTCTGCATTCTTTCTTTTCTCAATGTTTTTATTTATATTTTATTTTATAATAAACTTTACTAAAAAAGAGAAAGTATGACATATACTTAATTTTTACCTCCCTAGAATACTATTAGATAATACAATTTTGAAACTCATATTCTGATTGGGTGCTACATAGCCAAACGAATTTGATTCAATGCTTTGCCAAAGTACTTTGTCCGTTGCTGTTCTTTTGGCTTGATTCAAGTCCAGCTTGCAATGCTAAACCAGTTACAATTTGCTTTATCCAGCTTTTTCTTTGTGTCCCGCAATAAATGTTCTTCCATGCTGTAATGTTCTCTAGAGTAGCTGCACGAGTGAAAAACTAAGTCCATTCTGCAAACGTTCCTAAAGCATGTCAGATGCCATTTTTTTTATTTTACTAGCTATTTTAGTTAGATTTCACTGTACAGAATCAATGTCAGTGATGACTAACCTTTTCCACATTGCGTGCCTGCACCCATGATGCAATGTGTGCGTTTTCCCCCACCCCTTGCGCATGTGTGCATGTACCCTGTGTGCACACTGCACGACTCCCTACGTGCATCTCACCCCCGCTTCATGACATATACCTGACAACCAGCTGGCTGGTGGGGGCATACACGCATGCGCAGTGAGGCTCTTCCGGGTGACCTCTCACATGCCAGCAGAAGTGGCTCTGCGTGCCATTTCCAGCACATGTGCCATAGGTTCATCACAGATCTATGGAGATTGCACATTTGGAAGATCTTCAATTTCTGGACCTACAGCTATAGAAGCACCCATGATCTAGTTTGAAATAGAAACACTGGTAACATTGGTGACTAAAATATTCACATTTTACTATATGTATAAATGTTAGCAGGGGTGGGATTCTACCGGTTCAGACCGGTTCTATAGAACCAATTGTTATGATTCATGCTCCATATTTCTGCTTCAACTTATATGTAACTGCTCTTCATTTAAAAAGTTCATTCTAATTGTAACTTGCTCTCAGTTTTTCTTTTTAATAATAAAGCTATATCTCACAAAACATTCTGTTCCTTACTGCTGACTAAAATTTGCCTTGCAGTACTTCCTTATACTTGGTTCTTCATTACTTTCCAAAACATGTTTAAAAATGTTCATCTTGTAGCTCTTCTTCCTTCTGTGATTACCACTTTGCTTTAGCACAATTGTTCCTCAGTCTGGAAACTTCTTTGCAATTTTTTTCATTGTATTATTGCTAAGGAACTATTTTTGAATTTTTTTCTTTTAGTGAAATCGAACTTTCCTTTTATATTTTGTTACAAACATATTAACCAACTGCAACACCAGTATTTTTCTTTGGCAAAAGACATTATAGTGGTATCACTGTCATTTAATATATTTGTCAGCTTTCCAAGTAACCTCCAAATTAAAAAACTCAGAAACTGTCATCTTCTCAAATATCCATTTTATTAGAGATGTCATATTGGCACATGTGAGGAAAACCCGAATTTGAGATTTCCAGATTTTCCCTAGCTCAAAGGGAATCCAAAATCCAACCCCTGCACCCATGGTCCAATTATTACTTCATTCCAACTAGAGACTATCCCCAGGCACTTTCCTCCAGATGCAGAGTACATGTCCTTGACTCTCTGAGAAAGGAATGTTGTTGTGGGTATTCTTCCATTGCTCCTTGAAATCCCCCTTCCAAATTTCTAGTCATTGAATGTGGCAGCCCGGAAGCCTAAAAAAAAATGGCTTCCAAGCTGACAGTATTATTGCCATTAATTTCATATTTATCAAGAAAAAGAAAGGTTAATACAATCCATTATAGAGATTTGGAAAATGAAAATGCACTGTATAACACTAAAAATGCCATGTGAGCATTCTTCAATCAGTTTTTTCTTCATATTGCTTATCTGCAAATGATTTAAGATCTCAACTAAGATCTATAAATATATAGTTCCTTACAAAATTGTTTTGATCTGTGCATCTCTAGAATTATGGGGAAAAAACTCTGAAAAGCATACTTACGCATTGCAGTATGGCTTCTTCCCATAGCCCTTGTAGTTTTTCATGTTGAGAGTCATCTTGCAGACTTCGCAATGAAAACATGCTTTATGCCAGTACTAGGGAAATATAAAACATTGCAAGTGGATTAATTAACTAAAGAATGTATATTCAAAGATAACAAGTCTTTGTACCAGTCATACATTCCTGATGGATATTTTAGATAGATGCTCACTCTAAGAACTTTATGTTGCTTAAATGTAAAAACAAAAACTGAACAAAAATACAAACATGTATTTTTATTTTAGTTAGTTAGTTAGTAAAAACAGTAGTAAGTTCTTAAAATAACTACTTTGTAACCACTAAACTTATTAACACTTAACATAGTAGTCCTCAACCTTTCTGGCATCAGAAACTGGTTTTGTGGGAGATAATTTTTCCATGGACTGAGGTTGTATGCATTTCTCCTGCAACCTAACTCTGACTAAAGGCCCACAATAACACTTCTCAAATGGAAGTTATTTTATGTAATCTTACAACAAAAATATTATTGTGATATTTAAGAAAACCAAGTTTCCATTGGTTTGAAAGATATCTTTTTTATCATCAAGATGAATAGCAGTGTTAGTTCATGCTAGCATTTCTAAGTGGAAGATTTTATGTCTTCTAAAACAGGAACAGAAATTTCTGAACTGAGAAAAGATGGCACTGAATTGTCACCTGCAACTATTCTGATAATAGAAAGAATATACAAGTAGCCTTCAATTTACAACTATTTGTTCAATGTTATTATGGCCTTGGGAAAAGTGATTCACAATGTGTCTTTGAAGTTACAACCAGCATACCACTGATCGCCATTTGGACACTAGACAATTGGTTTGCATTTACAATTGATTGCAGCATCCTGTGGGCATCATCTGCAACCTTCCCAATTGTTTCTGACAAGCAACATCAATTGAGGAAATTTTATTCAATTAATGATCAATACAATACAATAATAATTAATACAATATTGTATTATTAATACAATAATAGATGACAAAACAATTATAGGATTCTGAAAAAAATGCATAATAGCTTGCTGCAATAATTTTACAGAAAACAGCTAGGAATTCTTCAGATAAATGGTTACAAATAGTACTAATTCCAAGATGTTGATAGAACAAAATACTAGATTTAGAAGAGGACATTTAGGGCAACCCTTTCTGTTCATTCTGTATCGTCCCACCTCCTCAACAAACTGTAAGGGCAATCTTCAGGATTAGGAGAAAGAAGGTGGCAAATGAGAAATATTCAAGGTAGCATGTATTTTAGACCATTTATTAATTTACTTTGTATAACATACTCCAATAATATATAATTAATCTGTTTCCATTTCTTTTCAAAGGTTCCATTTAATGTCAAAATGAATTAAATGTACCTATTTACTTATATAACTTTGGTTTTCATTATTTTTTATAATTCTTCTACAGCACTTTTGGAAGGGGGGAAATTGGAGCAGAATCATAAGTATAAAATTACCCATTAAAATCTTGATAAAGATTCTGCTTGTTGAACTAACTTTGCTTTCATGACAATTATTTTATTATTTTAGAATTCTATGAAAACTATCAGATAACATGTGAAGTAAATTAAGTTTCTCAAGAGTATCTGTTCCCATATGGACTCTTTATTGACAGATTCCATCAAATATCTTAGTTTCTTTCATCAAGAACAAAACAGCAGCTTTCTAAACAAGACTATCAAGGAAGAATTGGTAGACTACTATTTAATGATCAAGAACAATAGTTAGATTTGCTACTGTTCTGAACACCCACAATCAGTGATAATTGCAAAGTATCCTGGAGTCAGCTAATAATATGGGAATTCACCACACCCAATTTTTAAATACAGCCTAGATGACAAGAGCATGTAATGACTCATCAGTATTAGAAGAGAAGTCTGCCTCATTTTATTGCCTAGAGCAACAGATTTGTACCTTCATGAGTCTAAAAGCCAATTCCTCCTGCAGTTCTTTTTATTTTTTTTAATTTTCACTGAATCTTTGATATAACCAAAATCAATGTATACCGACATGTTAGTGTATGTTTTCAATCACCAAACAAATGCAGGGCAACTAGAAGTCTCAAATAGCTCTTAAAAACCAGAGCCTTCTTATCCTCATGATGTGCGTAATTTGAGTGACTGCAAATTTCATCTCAAATATAGTCAGCAAATTTGAATACTGTTATTAGAAAATAAGTCATTCACATTTGTTAACATGTAGCAAAATACTGTAGTTACCAACAAAATAGGGCATATGTATTTTTTGTACAGCAACCTTTCCAACCAAAAAGTAGTATGACACAGGCCAAGTTCACACTAATACTTGCTTCTAAGTGATAATCATATTTCAAGCTCCTAAATCTTCAATTGTTCTAAAAATGATTTGTGTCCCAGAGTTGTGATGCTCCATTGGTGGAGGTTTTGAAGAAATTAGACAGCCATTGTCCACAATAGTTTAGAGTCTCCTGCTTGAGCAAGGGGTTGAACTGGAAGACTTCCAAGATCTCTTCCAACTGTTATTCTGTTTATTCTAACATGAAGAAGAACCAAGGATATATTATGTATGAATGTTGTGACACTGAATGTAGCCACTGTAGAAAATTATGTCTAGTGCTCAACAAAAAGGAGACCGAAGAACAATCATATGTAATCATAACTTTGACAGATTTTTTTCATTAATTAACCTAGTATTTATATAATACATGGAATCATAAACAGCCTTTAGTTTTACAGAGTAAAATAAAACATGGTCAGCTAATTTGCAGCCCAGCATGCAATGAAAATCCAGTTTTAGAGTTGAGATGGAACATTCTTGCATACCTTTGTAAATCGATATAGATACTAGGTATATAAATATATCTAAATGCTATATTCACTATTGTTACATCAGAACAAATTTTATATTGTAGTTCTATAGAATAATACTTACTGTATAGCATAATTAAACAATAGCCAGTGTGGCTTAACAAATGGTATGTAGGAACTTGAATTTTAAAAAAAGTAATACCCAAATTCAGCCACTATATTCATTTAGTAAATCTTTGTTCATTTTCCATATACAAGATGGGAACAATATAAACACTTGATACATGGTATAGACTGTTAAATTGTTCAATCAATTTCTTGTAACTGAACAAAAATGTAGAAGCCATTTTATAATTTTCAATGCAGATAAATTTGAGATTTTCAGATCTTGTTTCAGTAGGGCGCTTTAATTGAAAAAAATACAACTTATCAGGAAATACAACTTACATGAGCCACTATTTAGAAAATAGGCAAAACAATTATCCACATATGGAATGAATCCATTAAATTAGAAAGTCAACTAACACCTCCTATTAGAGATTCCATATAGTTACTTTCAGATACAATTCAAGAGTGGTTATAGTTGTTATCTATAAAGCCCTACATCAGGCCTGTCAAACTCCCCACCCACAGGCTGGATGTGTCATGCACTGCCCACGCCCTATTTAGTGAAGGGGGAAAAAGTCCAATACGCCACGTGATGCTGCTGTGACAACATGAGTTTCACACCTCTGCCCTACATGGAATAGAGAACCTTTCTAGCATAGCAGTTAGGATGCTGACAGAAAATATGAGACTGAGTTTTAGGCATCAAAGGTGAGGTTAGTGACATTGAAGCCAGGCACTCTCTCTTAACCCAATGCACCTCACAGGATAATAGGCAGGAGTTTAGGTATATTTACCATCTTGAGTTAAATATTAAAAAGGCAAAATAAAATTAAAATAGGGTTTAAATATTTGGGGGAACTTTATTTCTCTAATTCTTTCTGAGATCTTGCAAGATAACAGGGTTGGCATGCTTGGTCCCACCTATTAAGCAATGTTGTCTCATGAAACCAAGAAAGGGTGTCTTCTGTACTACAGTACCCGCCTTTCTGAACAATATTACTCTCAAAGCCATGATCCTACAGTCAATCAAAAGACCCCTGAAGACTACTGGCTCTTTCCCCAGCCATGTGCTGGGAGAAGTATAATCCTGAATGGAAGATATATGTCCCTGATTAAATGTTAATACATTTTTCTCATCCAGGCATGATCATATTTTCTTTGTTAATATTAATATATTGTTTTTCTGTTTTTAATCCTTGCAAGCATACCCACAATTGTTGAAGAGTGATAACTATAATAATTTAACTGATAAATATTACATGGAAGTAAATTTCAGTCTCTATCCTACTGCTTTTAAATCACAGACTGGACTTTGGAAGCTGACCAAATGTGCTTTTATGTCATAGTTTTTGCATTTTTAAATACTAAACAGAGTTTTAAAAACAATGATTCTAAACATAATTCTCACCTTGTGTCATTCAAATATGGCACATTTATACATAAATTTCATGTTTATATTATAAATAGAAAAAATACCACACAGTTCAGTTAAAATTTTCACTTGTGTAACTGGCACAACCTCTCCCTTCCTCTTAATTACTACTAAATATCTTCCACAACATACAGATTCCTTTCTAATCATGAGTTAGTCCTTATAACACAGGTGTCAAATTCGATCACATCATAAGCTAGATTGTGACGTATTGCAATGTTTACGGCCTTTGCAGAGCTGGAGTGGGCTGCGCATGACGTATCTACCTTGTGTGCTGCCAGTTTGGCAGGCCTGCCTTACAACAACTTGTGAGTATAAGCTGTTTAAGAGAGGTCTACTGCAAAAGTGGTGAACCTGTAGGTTCCCTACTTCTATCTTATAACAAATAAATCTAAGTCAAACTTCATTAAGATTTAGCTCCATCACTATTTCAGGAGTATATAATTAGTAGTTGTACTTTGACAGAGATCTCCTCCCCTTAATAAAGGCATAGTAAATAGGGAAACAAAGTTGCCACATCATCTATGAATCTAAAAAGTCAAAACCTTTTTAAAGCCAATTTATAATCAGATGAGCAAGGCATATAAGTCTTTGTAGTTATAAACAGAAAGTCCCTACAATACTTGACTCAGTTTTTTTTAAACAGCAAAAAAGCCATTTTTTAAAAGGATCTGTTCTTATAAACTCTATAACATTGCAATAACCATAGAATCTAATACAAAACAGATGGTTAATTTTTCCATCTTTTTAGCTATTGATACACAAAGCTCTTTTTAAAATTATGGTAAAAGGTGGTAGAAAGCTTCTCTTGACAGTGCTTCATTTAAAGCCACTTTTAAAATACATAAGAAAACTATTTAAAGTCATAACATTTGCTTAAACAAACAACTGACAATGTGGCTCAAATGCCTGTATTTTTACGAATGAAAACTGGAATTCTTCCAAAATCAGCTATTCTGTATAACTTTTGCTTCATTTGTTTGCTGGAAATAATTTAAGAAAATCATTTTGTAATCCCTCTATTTAAAATAAAATGCAGGTAATTTGATAAAAATACAGTAAAAAGTAGATATTTTCTAGGCAAGGTATCAATACCTTAAGAAAAATTAAAAACAAAGCTTTTCTAAGCCTTAGGTTGGACTATTTGCATAATTTATTTTATTGAAGTTATATTATTGCAAAAGAATAAAGTGAGAAGCCTTTACATTATAGATGCTATATTTATAACCGCCATAACAATGCCAAAAGTGTTAATTACTTAGCAATAGCTTTCCCTGCTTTTAACATTATTTCCAATACCATATTTTCCAATTCAAACTGGTGTCAACTTAACCCACAATTTTGAGAAGCTGAAAATATAAATTCCATTAGTTTTCTTTACCACTCCATCCTCCCTAAAGTACACTTCCAACAACATAACTGTTGAATATATTTCATGCTTTCTTTGCAGGTCTATTGTACTTGCAGTAAGGCACACCTGTCGCTAGAGATCAGCAGGCTTCTCAAATTCTCTTCATACTTCCTCTTAGAAGGTTACAAAATTGACTTCTTTTCTGTATAATCCACGACAAGCAGATTCTGCACCTTAGTAGCTGCCCCCACCACCTATCCTCCTCCAAAGCATAAAGCTTTCAACGTGTCATCAACCGCCCTTTCTACAGGTGATACCACACACTTTATATTGTCCTCAGACTCATTAAGTCGCTTTTTAAGTTGCAACCATGGCCCTACGGAGACATTCGCAAAAAACACATGTAATTCCACTAAGGCAGGATTTGCCACTCCACACCCAAAAAGCCTGTTTCAGCTCCACCAAGTCTAGGAAGCGCTGGGTTCCCCTGGGTGACCCGTCCCCCATTCCCTCCTCTACGCAGCCCGCCTTTTGTTCAGGCTACCTTGTACCTTATCCTCCCACGCCCTGTTCCTTCAACCGCTCCCCGATGGTCACTCTCTAAAATGCCCCCTTTGTGCTTTCCACACGCTTCCTTCCCTCAGCCTGGCCTGCTCTCTCCTTCCGGCAATCCACCACTTCGGAGACTGCCTGCCGGCCTCTCCCTCTCCAATTGGCCCGCCTTCTCTTCTCCTTCCACGCACACACGCTCCGCAACCGACCATCCCGCCCTTGACATCTTTGCCCCGCTCCACCCCAACCGTCCCCCGCTATCGCTCTCCCTTCACACACACACACACACACACACACACACACACACACACACACACACACACACACCCCTCCCCACACGGGCAACCCAGCAACAACCATCTCCCTCCGGGCTGCCAACTGCCGCTGCTCCTGTTCCCGCCCCCCCGCTTCGCGACCTCTACTTCAGTTCCCCACAAGCACCCCTCAAAATCCACTCCCCCCCCCCCCCCGCCCAGGGGGCTTGCGCCTTCTCTTCACGACACCCACCTTGTCAAGGCAGTTCACCTTCTCGGTTGGGTAGACGATTTTGCCGCAGCGGGCACAGCTGGGATTCATGGCGACCGAAGCGAGGTGGGGAGGGAAGGGTCTGTAGCTCTGTATGTGCGTGAGGAAAAGGAATCCTCCTGCTGCTGCTGCCGCCGCCGCCGCCTCGAAAACTGCGCCCTCGGAAAGGTTCTGCAAAGGCAGCAACGGAAAGGAGGAGAGGCGAGTAAGCAGGAAGCCACCCCGGCAATGGCTGGTGGCAACTGAGGAGGAAAGGGGCGCGGCGAGCCACTCTCTTTTACGCGCCAGCCTCCTCCTTCTTCCTCGTCAGCGCGAGCAGTCGACCGCGCGCGCACACAAAAGGGGTGAGGAGGGAGACGGCGTCGCCAGACTGGTCTACGGCGAGCGGGGTGGGGTTTAGTGCTCACGTGCGAGAGTGGGAAGGCGGGGGGCGAGAGCCTGAAATAACGACGAAAAGGAAGTTTGCAGAGCGCGCGCTTGCGCGCGCCAAGATTTCGAGGGTCGGGGATTGAAACTTAAATATAGGCTGAGAACCGGGACCACAACGGTGGCCACGGGCAGCCTTCCCCCTGAATGTTTCCACCTTGAACTTCCCAACTATAATACCTATCATCTACAGCCAGTTCGGCCGAGTTAAGAAAAAACAGGCTTAGAAAAGCTTCCTTGCGTCTACTTAGAAGTGGGAAAACTCCCTTGAACTTTGCTTCGGAGTAGATGAGAGCTCCTGTACATACCATTACTGCCAGATTGGACACCCAATGGCAAAGAAGTATAGGATTATAATTTAAGTTGCTTGAAGAAGAGCTCCTAATGGAGTTTAAGGCTGCCTTCTACTAGAGTGCAAAAATGAAAAAGGAAGCAGCATAAACAGTACCAAACCAAAAACCACAGAGGTAGCTATTTCCTGGTTGCTACAGTGCTTTGTAATAGCTATTCCTATGCCTCATAACAAAATGTTTCTTTTCCTCCTACATGTTAGAACTTCCCCATGTTTTTGAAAATCTTGTGTCTTCTGACAATCAGTCGTTCAATAGGTAGAAAGATAAGAGTGAAACAATTTGCTTCGCTTGTTGAAATGTACCTTTTTTTAAGGCATAGAGTGGCTATTGAGTTTCAATTTTGGAGCTTTCTGAAGGAAAAAAACTGAACAAATTGTAGTCTAATGTTAAGATCTTTTCCCTGCCAAAGCAAGCTATTCCACTAAATTATCAATTTTGTCTATTCTGATTACCAGAGTCTAGGACTAAATTCATTTTAAGCAACTTTAATGTTAGATATTTACATATGCACCTCTGATTGGTTGGTCCGCAGTGGCAGGAAATTAAAGAGCCGCCACTGGTTATAGCCACAGCAGCCCTGCTGTAAAAGCTGCTGTGGCTGCTGTCTTTGTTCTGAACGATGCAATAAACAGGAGTAAACAATCGGAGCCTTCTGTGTGTTCTCTTGCCCATGATTTAACACTGGCAACGAAGGTGGGATTTGAGAGAAGCGGGATTGTGAGCAATGTGGCTAACTAACTGGTCAAAGAACACAACATAGCAGGAAATAATACGCCATCCGCACAGTTCGACCCAACTACCAAGGATTGGGATTCCCACATCGATCGATTCCAGATGTTCCTGGAAAGCTGCAACCTGATTAATATTATGGAACAGAAGAAATGAGCCATCTTCCTCACGCATTGTGGCCCCGCCATATTCAAAATGGCGAAAACTCTCGCTGCCCCAAGCAACATAAAAATGATGGCCTGGATAGATTTAGAGAGAATTCTAAGGGCCCATTACACTCCCCCAGTATCAAGTTTAGTTAAAAGACATGAGTTCTTCCAGAGAGATCAGAGGGAAGGAGAGAGTATCAATGATTTCTTCGCGAGCCTGAGGAACATTGCCGGAGCATGCAAGTTCCTGAACATGGATGAGGCGATGAGGGATCACGTAGTCCTGGGACTCAGGGACCTGACACTGCAGAGTTGTCTTCTAACAAAACCAAAAATAACACCGAAGGAAGCTATCGAAGAAGCATCAGCAGTAGAAGCGTCTCAGAAGTCCGCCGCAGCCATGAGGAAGGTGAATAAGACTCCACTGCCCCCCCCCCAAAAGGACAGTGCCGCCATTCATTACAAGGACCTTGAGTCCAAGTTGGGTCGGCAGATGACAAAGAAGTGAATCAGCTACATCCTGAACTGCACCAGAAAAGCTGAGAAAAAAAAGAGAAAGGAATTTTGGTGCATGGGTTGTGAAGGAAATCACCCTAGATCGGAATGCTGTTTCCAAGATGCTATCTGCCAACATTGCGAGCAGAGGGGGCACATCGTGAAGGCATGCCAAGCATTCAAGCCAAACAGCCGAAGGCCAAGACAAGGTACCCCCCAAGGAATCGGGGAAACCATGGGGGCCAAATCGGGAAAACCATGGGGGCCAAAACAGCAGAAATCGATGGAACACAAGTCAACCACAAAGAAGAATGAAATGCACCAGACCATAACTATGGGCCACTCCAGCATGTGAAACACCAAGGAAGTCCATGTTCACGTCGTGATAGAAGGTAAACTATGTAGAATGGAAGTGGATTCCGGGTCTCTCCTATCGATGGTGTCGTGGGACACCATCAAAAGTATAATCCCCCAACTAACAAAGGCCCAACTGAAAAGACAAAAAATAATCAAGGGAATAAGATTCCCGTCATTGGCATAGGAGAATTCGGAGTGACATTCCGAAATTACTGCAGGATTCTGCCTTTAACCATGGTTGACCGGGACTGGCCAAGTCTGCTGGGGCTAGAGTGGTTCAAACTATTCAGGATAGAATTCACTGCAATCCACAGCATCACAGACAGTGAGTGGGAAGACAAACTGATGGAGGAATTCTGAGACGTGTTCAACGGAAAATTGGGCAGGTACTTGGGGTCCCCTATTTCCTTTAACCTAGACCAAAATATAGTCCCGATCAGACTAAAAGCAAGGCAAAAAATAGTCTACTAAAAATAGACGAGCATTTAGACAAGCTCATTTCCCAAGGAATTCTAGAACCTATAGACCATGCGAAATGGGAAACCCCCATCGTCACACCTATAAAGCCAGATGGATCTCTGTGCATTTGTGCTGACTACTGGGTGACCCTTAACCGTGCCTTACAACAGAGTGCGTACCCTGTCCCAGTGGTGTAACACCTCTTACATTCCCAGGCGCAGGGGAAGATATTCACAAAGTTAGATCTTGCACAAGCCTTCCAGCAATTACTGGTAGATGCTGAAATGGCGGAAGCACAGACAATTGTCACACACCGAGGGGCTTTTAAATGTAACTGCCCACAATTTGGGGTTAGTATTGCCCCGGGACTATTCCAGAGCCTCATGGAACGATTACTGCATGGAATAAAGGGGGTGGTGCCTTACATCGACGATGTTATCATCTCAGCCGAGGACAAAGAACAATTACAAGAACGTTTAATGGAAGTCCTCAGCCATTTCAAAGAAGTGGACCTTAAAGTAAAAAAGGAAAAATGCCAACTAACAGCCAACAAGGTAGAATTCCTGGGCTATTTGATAGATGGGGAAGGGATCCACCCCACAGACAGTAAAACCAAAGCAATCAAAGAAGCCCCCAGACCAAAAAGCAAAACAGAATTGCAAGCCTTCCTGGGACTAATTAACTTTTACCATATATTCTTACCGCAGAAGGCAACAGTGGTGGAACCTCTCCACAGAGGCTTGACAAGAAAGCAGCCTGGGTTTGGGGACATAAAGAAGAGGCAGCATTCCAAGAAATAAAGAACTTAATCACATCAGAATGCATACTGATTCAGTATAACAAGACTTTACCAGTAAGATTAACTTGTGATTATCAGCCACATTTTGCTGAATGGGAAGGAAACCCCAATAGCATTTTATTCAAAGACATTATCCAAACCGGAATGAAATTATAGCCAATTAGACAAAGAAGCGTTAGCCGCAGTCACTGGAATCAAGGAATTCCATGAATACATATACGGAAGGAAGTTCACATTAGTCACAGACCACAAACCACTTTGGGGCATCATCGCGGGGGACAGAGCCACTCCAAACATCATGTCCCCCAGAATGACTCGCCTACGACTACAAATTGATGTATAGATCAGGGAAAGAAATTGATCATGCTGATGCATTGAGCTGATGCCCCCTGCCCATTGAGGATGAAGATCCAGCACCAGTGACCACCACACTCCTGATAGAGACAGTTCAACGAACGCCAGTCACAGCATCCAATATCGCAAGAGCAACAGTGAAAGACAGAACTCTGCTGCACGTTTTGAACTGGGTAGGGAGGGGGTGGCCAAAAAAGGAAAAAGCCAAAGAAACTAAACCTTTCAGAAACAGACAAACAGAACTATCCATACTGTATATTGTGGGGGGATCAGGTCATAATTCGGGACATTTTAAGGGACGATATAATGGAAATGTTGCATGCAGGGCACCCAGGGATGGTTAAAATGAAATCCCTAGCAAGGACTTATGTGTGGTGGCCAGGGATGGATAAAGAAATAGAGGCCTGGGTATCCACCTGCTGGGTTTGTCAGGAAAACCGACCAGCACCCCCCATAGTGCCTATCCATGAGTGGGAAACACCTAGGGAACCCTGGTCAAAGATACATACCGATTTTGCAGGGCCAGTAAAGGGACACACATTTTTTATTGTTGTGGACACATATTCTAAATGGGCAGGAAATCAGCATTATGCAGTCCACAGTGACTGACGCAGTCATAAGAAACCTAAGGAAACTTTTTGCAACATACAGCTTTCCGGATTTAATAACATCTGACAACGGGCCTCAATTCACAGCCACACACTTTGAAGGATTCCTAGCACAAAATGGGATATGACATGCCCTCTGGACATCCATCGTCGAATGGCCTTGCAGAACGCATGGTCCGACACATGAAAGAAACACTTCAGAAACTAGGGCCAGGGGACATGCAAGCAAAAATAGATAAGCTATTAAGTATACAACACGTAACACTTAGCACAACAACAAATAAAAGCCCCACTGAACTACATATGGGAAGGAAACTGAGATCACCCTTAGACAAAGTACACCCCAATTACACACCAGAAAGACCACTAGATTCATCCAGCAAATGCTGGATGTTCCAGAAGGGTGATTCAGTCCATGCTAAAAATTTAACAGGAACCGCTATGGATACCGGCAATGGTGGTACAGGTAATGGGGCCCCGTTTGTAAAGAGTCGATACAACAGATGGCAGAAGCTGGAGAAGACACATTGATCAACTACGAACCCGGGGGACAAAG